TAGTAGCAGGGACTACAGGCGCGTGCTACCATGCCCCGCTAATTTTTTTTGTATTTTAGTCACCATATTGGCCTGGATGGTCTCGATCTCCCAACATTGTGATCTGCCCTCCTTGGCCTACGAAAGTGCTGGGATTAAAGGCATTAGCCACCATGCCTGGCCTTAACAGGTACATTTAAGTCTGTTATCTATTTCATTTTGTGCTGTAAGGTCTATGTTCATTTTTGTATCCATTCAAATAACTAGTTTTTCCAGCACCACTTGTTGAAAAGTCTGTTCTTTTGAATCACCTTAATGCTTTGAACAAAAATCTGTTGAATATGAATGTATGCATATGTACACATAGTACTATGTATCTCTCACACACATATGTTTATATACATGCTCTTTATAATTCTTGTATTGATCTACACATCAGTGTTTTTGTTTGTGCTGCTATAAAGAATACCATGACTGGTTAATTTATAAAGAATAGAAATTTATTTCTCAAAGTTTTGGAGGTTGGGGATGTCCAGGAGCAAGGTGTCATCTGTCTTCACATGTCAGGATGACAAGAAAGAGACCAAACTCCCTCTGTCAAGCCATTTTATAAGAGCAGCTAATCCCATTCACTGAGAGAAGTCCAGATAGAAATCTAGCCTTAAAGATAGTTATTCAAGAATGCATCTACTTTGATGCTTTACCTAAGGGGATGTATGCTCAACTATGCTGTATGTAGCTTGAGTGGCAGAAAGGTGAAGCTTCAGAAGCTTGAAATGTCAGGGAATAGCCTTAAGCTGTCAGCACAGCTGGAAATAAGAGGAGAATTTCTAGACTCAAGAAATTTACATGGAAAGTGATCTCCATCACTAACTGACCAGCAAATTAAGAGGCATAGGGAAATGAGTCTATAGGGAGCCAAGCTAAAAGAGCAGCCATGGAAAACTATGAGAATAAAGCAGAGATATCAATAGCTGCATGCGCCAGGGGAGACAATGTTGGCAGCTTGAATCTGGAAAAGTTAACTGTCAAACAGAACAAACAAACAATCAATAGTACTCAGGGCAAACAAAAAAAACAGTAGAATCAGAGTCATTAGACTACATTACAATGTCCAGGCTTCAATAAAAAATTATTAGGCATGTAAAGAATAGGAAGAAAAGACAGGAGAAAGGCAATCATAGCAAGATACTCGAGTGTATCCAGATATTTGATTCAGCAAAGACTTGTAAGCATTGCTTCTGTTTTGCTGGCACAGTAATTATCTTGATTGATGTTTAAATGTTAAATCTGCCTTGCATTGTACTTCCATGGCAGTCATCCTGAGAAGACAAAAGCCATGGGATCAGTATTTTTTCTTTGCTTATTTGGCACTTAAAATCAATAATTTTGCACTAAAATATGAACTCCATAAATGTAGAGACTGTTATATATTGGTTTTGTATCCCTAATGACTGTAGCAGTGTCTGACATAGATTGGGTGCTCAATGAATAGTTAATGAATGAATGAATGACTAAAATATAAACTAAAATTACTATGGAGAAAGACTTTCAGACATTTTACATCCACAGTGAGGCAGTCAAGGGCTGATCATGTGACTAGTTATTAGTCTTGTTTTGTACCCATATTTAAGATTTTAAAATAGATGTCCAATAGAAGTAAATAGCACAATAAATTCATCATCACTAGCTAAATATTAATATATATTACACATTTTACACTGTAGGTACAAGAGGGGTACAATTAAGTAATCTGTGAATTTAAAACATGTCCAGGGTAGAATTTCATTGAAAATATAAGAGGTGAATATATACTCAAAAAAATTTTTTTTTAAACATTGAATATCTGTCCTTCAATTTAATCCTATACTGGTTTGTTGACTCTTAAACAAAGTTGCCAGTTTGTAACCTCAAAGGAAAACAAAGTGACGCAATTATGTACTGATAAGTAGATCTCTAGGAAAGAAATCAGCGATTCCTTAAGCAAAGCATCCATTGGCCCTTTGGAAATTCTCTTAAAACAGAATGAATATTAGCCTTTATGTCACTAGAGGATGGTGTTGCTTCAGAGAAACACAATTCAGACTCATCTGTAGTAACTGACCAAAAAGTGCCAACCAGAATCCAACTGCTAGCTTCACATTGTTATTCCACAGAACCTCATGACCCTGTCTCTACATAAAATAAAATTGTAAAATTAGCCAGATGTGGTTTCATGTGCCTGCAGCCATACCTACTCAGAAGGCTGAGGTAGGAGAATCACTTGAGCCCAGTTCAAGGTATCATGAGCTAAAATCATGCTACTGCACTAAAGCCTGGGCAACAGAGTGTGACTGTCTTGTTCACAAGGTGAATAGCTAAAGGCAGACAACTTAGGATGAAGTAAAATGCTGATAAAAGAGAAATGTTACACAAATTATCTGAAATGCAACACATCTAGTTCATTGGTACAGCGGTAAGAGGCTAACAGTTCTTTACTAATACATGCTCTGATGCTTAGGCTTATCAAGTCCTTTTGGCTATCTAAGCATTTCAGTGGGAGAAGTAAAAGTTTCAAAGAAGTCAAATATTTGTAAATAAAATGAGAATAGTTTTTGATGTAACTGGGAAAAGATCAGCTTTGCTTCCTTTACTGTGTGAACGGTGAAATAGTCTCAAATTTTAAATAATTAATTACACTAGAATTGTATTAATTCCAGAAGGAATAAACTTGATAGCCACTTTCATCCAGATGCTTTGGATAAAGCTTTATCTAAGAATAACCTCAAATATTATTTTACTTTTCAAATGATATTAGTCTAGAAAAATACTCTCTCAAATATGGGTTTAAGATTAATGCAAAATAATAAGACAAAAGTTTGGGGAAGATTTTAGAGTTAAACCATTTCACCCTTCCTACCTCTTGTTCCCATTGTAAATGTGACATTTTAATTAATAAAACTTAAAAGTGCAAAACATTTTTTAAATGACAGCAAAACAAAACGAAATTCATGTTGTGATTAATGTGTTATTAAAATGGAATTGCATTCTTGCTTTTCCTTCTTTAAAAAACATATAATGTTATAGTGATATTTTTTCAAACTCTCATACAGAATCAAGACAATAGCACATAAAGAAAGCATGCAGAGGGACATATCTTATTCTTTTTTTTTTTTTTTTTTTGAGACAGTCTTGCTCAGAGTGCCACCAGGAGCCAGGCTGGAGTGCAGTGCTCTGCCTCCTGTGTTCAAGCAATTCTCCTGCCTTAGACTCCCGAGTAGCTGGGACTACAGGCATGCACCACCACCCCCGGCGAATTTTTTGTACTTTTAGTAGAGATGGGGTTTCACCATGTTGGCCAGGATGGTCTTGATCTCTTGACCTCATGATCCGTCTGCCTTGGCCTCCCAAAGTGCTGGGATTACAGGCGTGAGCCACCTCGCTGGCCGACATATCCCATTCTTACCTCTTAACAGTAATTTAAAAGTAAAGAACACCCATACATGAAGAACATCAGCTAAGCTACGAAAGGCAAAACAGGCTTGTTCTGAAAGTTGGTCTATGTCCATCAGAATAGTGGTCTTTATAGTGCTTTATGATTATGTCTAATTTCTTATAAATATGAGGAAAAATGAACTTTGCAATTATTTTTTTAAATCTTTTTATTTCTTGAACAGCATGAAAAGGAAAAAAAAAAGACTTTCCTAAGGTTAGGGGAAAATGATCTCACCTTTGATATTCATCTTCTGAGAGCAGTTATGGGATCCAGGTCTGGAATACATGGTTCAAATAAGATGGGAGTTGAGAATTGCTGAGACTTCAAGAACATTCTTTAGCTTCTTGAGGTCTGAGTTACCCCCCTTTAAGGTGAATAATAATAGCAATAGTACCTTGGAGGATTTCTGTGATAAATGAGAAAATGCTTGTGAGAAGTACATAACATATGGCTTACTGAAAGATGTTATGAAGCAAGCTCATATGCCTATTTTCATTCAGTGTTTATTATGTCAAAGGCAAAGTTTCCCTTCATGATATCTAAGTATTTTTCTAGTTCTTAGTGTATGAAGAAAAGAAGGATGGTTGGAGGCTGTGTAAGGAATACCTTTCTCCTCTACTCCCCTCTCACTCCCATAGGCTGGGAGCAGCTGATTTCACTTCCTCAGATATGCAAACTGTGCCACCCTCCTGTAGCCACTTTGGCCCTAGCTGACTGATTTGCTGGGGTCAAGGGAAGTGGGCAGGATTAGGCAGGGGTAATAGATGGGATTTCTTGGGCCTGGAATTCAACCAACCAATGTATTTGTTTCCCTGTGTCTATTCCCTTAAGTCTACAGGCATTCTCTAGTAATTTTATAGCTTTTAGCGGCACCCCAGGAGACAGGATGGCTTGGCCATTTTATAATCACTCAAGCAGAGTCCCAAAGCAAAAAAGAAAAAGGTAACGATCACCTATGCAAAGGCTTGTGTGGATCGCTTAAGGACAGGCGACTTACACTTTACTAAGAGTTACTAAGAAGGATCCGGTCCCTGTAGGAGCGTTTGTGGTCGAAGACGCAGAAGGACGAGTGCTCAGCAGCTTGCTGGGGTCCCCAAGCCCAGTGAGACTTACTAGCTGCTTGCCGCCCCCGACACTTTGGCAGGGAACTGGAGGAGGCGCCCAGTGGGCCCCGCGTCCGGCCAGGAGCAGGGCATTTCAGAGGAGCCCATCTGAGGGTTTTCTCAACCCAGGCGTTCAGGTTAGGCAACAGCCAAGAGAGACGCTCAGTTGCTTTGCACCCTCCTCCCACCTCGGTTCTGTCCACACCCACGGGCGCCCCGCCCCCTCGGCCTTACACAGGGGACCTGGCACCTCTGCACGCCTCGGAGCCAGAGGTTTCTCGGAGAGGAAGGCGCGGCTGCCTCCGGGGCCAGTGAGCCCTGGCGCCGCAGCGATCGCGGCCTCAGTAGCGGAGTAGGGCGGCGGCTGCGCCCCCACACCATGGAGGGCAGCCCAGCCCCCCGACCTCCGCCGCCGCCCGCCCCGCTGCTGCCCCGTCCCGCTGCGGCTTTCTGGACGCCATCCCCTCCTCACCTCGAAGCCAACATGAAGGAGACCCGGGGCTACGGAGGGGGTGCCTCCTTCTGCACCCGCCCCAACCACTCCTACACTGGCATGTGGGCACCCGAGCGCTCCGCCGAGGCGCGGGTCACCCTTACGCGCCCTCTAGGGTCCGGCGAGGATTGCGGATCGGTGTCCGTGGCCTTCCTGATCACCATGCTGCTCACGGGTTTCGTGGGCAACGCTCTGGCCATGCTGCTAGTGTCGCGCAGCTACCGGTGCTGGGAGAGCAAGCGCAAGAAGTCCTTCCCGCTGTGCATCGGATGGCTGGCGCTCAGCGACCTGGTCGGGCAGCTTCTCACCACCCCGGTGGTCATCGTCGTGTACCTGTCCAAGCAGCGCTGGGAGCAGCTCGACCCATCGGGGCGGCTCTGCACGTTCTTCGGGTGTTCCGGCTCTCCTCGCTGTTCATCGCCAGCGCCATGGCCGTCGAGCGGGCGCTGGCCATCAGGGAGCCGCACTGGTACGCGCGCCACCTGCGCTGTGCTGCTCGGCGTGTGGCTGGCCGTGCTCGCCTTCTCCCTGCTGCCCGTGCTGGGAGTGGGACAGTACACGGTGCAGTGGCCCGGGATGTGGTTCTTCATCAGCACCAGGCGAGGGGGGCAACGGGACTAGCTCTTCCCATAACGGGGGCAACATTTTCTTCCCCTCTGCCTTTGCCTTCCTTGGGCTCTTGGCGCTGACAATCACCTTTGCCTGCAACCTGGCCACCATTAAGGGCCTGGTGTCCCGCTGCCGGGCCAAGGCCACGGCATCTCAGTCCAGTGCCCAGTGGGGCCACATCACGACCGAGACCGCCATTCAGCTCATGGGTATCATGTGCATGCTGTCGGTCTGCTGGTCTCCGCTACTGGTAGGTGTGTTCTAGAAATGGCAGCACCTGCAGGGGTGTGTTTGCAACCGCAGAGCACTGGAGTGTCCTCTGTTCCTGCCCACGCTGTCTTGGGTACAGCTGCAGAGGTGAGCTCCTCACTTACTCCCCGACTCGCTGAGTGCCTTCCAAGAGCCAGGACTCGCGTTAGGCACTGGTTATGCGCACATAGAGATCACAGGGCTGCTCACATTATAGTCTGGGCGCAGGATATGTCATTAAAATGACATATTTTCTATGCAGAGATAGAAGTTTGTCGTGGGTGCAATAAGAGCAGAATGACTATGATAACTATGATAACTGTAGCCTGTGTGGGTGGGTGGTGGGAGAGCTTCTTTATTTAAAATACCTCTCTCAAGTTAATGCGATTTTCGGTCTGCAATCCCAGACAGATATAGCCCTCTTGTAGCTTCCAAAACACTGCGTGACCTATGGGCGCCTTCAAGGTTCACTTTCTCTTTCTTTCTTGGGCGCTTCTTTCTTTCTTTCTTTCTTCCTTTCTTTCCTTCTTCCTTTCCTTCTTCCTTTCTTTCTTCCTTTCTTTCTTCTGACTGAGTCTCTCTCTGTCACCCAGGCTAGGGTGCAATGGCGCGATCTTGGCTCACTGCAACCTCCGCTTCCCGGGTTCAAGCAATTCTCCTGCCTCAGCCTCCTGAGTCGCTGGGATTACAGACATGCGCCACCGCACTGGCTTATTTTTGTATTTTTAGTAGAGACTGGGTTTCACCGTGTTAGGATGGTCTCCATCTCCTGACCTCGTGATCAGCCCCGCTTGGCCTCTCAAAGTGCTAATATTACAGGGTGAGCCACCGCGCCCGACCTAGGTCCACTCTTAATGAGGCAGCAGAATGAAAGATGCAAGTTGCCTCCTCAGGCCTTTGGCATGGTGCTTGACCCTCTAGGAAGTGCCTGAACAACAGTCTGGGGTTCGGAAGCCCAGCAGCTCCTTCAAGTCAGCATTTGCAATCAAGCAGGATTGGGTATTCCTGAGATAGGAGGAGGTAGGGGTTTCTTCATGTCCTAGCTTCTCACACCAGAGCAATGTGGAGGAGCAAGGGGTGTTTTCATAGGCTCCTTGTCCAACACCTGCCTTTACATGGTATTTTTGAGGTTTGTTTGTTTTTTGTCTGTGTTACTTTTAGCTAATAAGTGCTGTTTACTAATTCCTGAAGAATAGATGCTTACTTACTTAGGCCCTGGGGAGCCTGGGTAAACAGATGTTGCAGAAAGAGTGATCTGGTCACTTTCAGAAGGTATAACCAACTATATATATTATATAATCATGGAAAACCTTTGAAACACATGAACACATTTTTTTTCTGCTTGTGGTCTAATATATTACATACAATTTGGAGTTTTAACCATCATCATGTGTACAGTTCAGTGGCATTAGGCATTAAATACGTTGACTTTTTTGTGTGCCATATATAGTTTTAAATCCCTTGCATTTGAAAATAGAAAGTAATTCCTTTCACCTGGTTTGGTATCTTGGAGCACAAATCTTGGCTCCAAATCAGTGGCATGAGAGGACAAGGAGAGTTATGTTGGGACCTAACTGCCCACAAGTCACTGCATGGTCACAGTTCTTTATTCCAGGAGTTGGAACTCAGGCTGATGTCATCACTATGGCTTATCAAAACCAGCACCAATTTTAGACATGGAGTGTTTACTTCTACGGCTGAGGAATGGAGTAAATAAGTGGCCAACTAGGTAGGAAGAGCTCTAAATAATAATCACTTTATTAAAGTATGGTAATTAGTAACTATAAAGGCAAACAGGGTATCTGAATTTTTTACAAGTGTCATTTGAGTCCCACATCTTTGAGTTTGCTGTATCACATGATTTATATCCTAGGAGAAAAAACAGTTAAATCAATTGAAGAAAAGGCCCATACAGTTAATCAGACTTATAATTTATTATTTGTATATATTTTTTAAGTCAAAGATTTTATTCAGACACTTTAATTCTAGTGCCATGAGTATGGTGACCTCAGAAACAAAGTAGATCAATCTTAAAAACTGTAATTTAGGATGGCCAAACTCACTCTTTCAAGAAAGACTATATTTGAAACTAATCTTATTTAATTTCAATTTATTTTCATTCAGACAATACTTATTGATTTATAGCATTTACTGGGCACTTTATTAATTCAGTTATAGAAACATTAAATAAATTCAACATGTAATCATATCAAAAAGAATTTTTTTTTAGACAGAATCTCCCTCTGTCACCCAGGCTGGAGTGCAGTGGCAAGATCTCAGCTCTCTGAAGCCTCCACCTCCCAGGTTCAAGTGATTCTCCTGCCTCAGCCTCTCCAGTCACTGTGATTACAGGCACCAGCCACCACACATGGCTAATTTTTGTATTTTTAGTAAAGATGGGATTTCACCATGTTGACCAGGCTGGTCTTGAACTCCTGACCTGAAGTGATCCACCTGCCTCCATCCAAACTGCTGGGATTACAGGCATGAGCCACCACGCCAGGCCTAGGAGAAATTTAAAGTTTCAAAACAGAAACTTTTTAAACAAAAAGGCTCCATCAGCCGGGCATGGTGGCTCACACCTGTAATAACAGCACTTTGGGAGGCTGAGGTGGGTGGATCATCTGAGGGCAGAAGTTCGAGACTAGCCTGGCCAACATAGTGAAACCCTGCCTCTATTAAAAATATAAAAATTAGCCTACCATGGTGACATGCACCTGTAATCTCAGTTACTTGGGTGGCAGAGGCAGGAGAATTGCTTGAGCCTGGGAGGCGGAGGTTTCCATGAGCCAAGATTGAGCCACTGCATCCCAACCTGGATGACAGAGCAAGACTTTGTCTCAAAAAAAAAGTCTTCAAATATCTTTAAAAAGATTTACTGTACAAAGTTGGAATTATTTCAAAGAAAAGAAACTGGCAAAGCTGCTTTCTTAATAGAGAAGAATTTAGTGAATTTAATTTGCAGCATATTGGTGTTAAAATGAGAGATTTTTTAACACTTTTTTTCTAACTATGGGTAAAATATAGATTTCCTGTTAGCTTTTGGTAAGTTGAGTACAGGATACTATTCTAATTGTCCCAACTTCTTACTCAAAAGGACCCTGAGTATATCCTGGAAGGCTATCATGACTGTAACAAATATTCAGTTGTTACTGCAGGAAAACTTGGTAGGGCAGGAATACCATAATAAGAAAATGTCCGAACTGCTGCAAGTTCCCACTACATAAATACTTAGAGGTTTGTGTATCCTTAAATGATAGTTAGTTTCCTTTATCTTTTTCTCAGAGACTTTGCAAAATCCAACATAAAATGTGAAATTAAGAGAGTACAGTGGGAAACAATGTCACCATGATCGATGATCTGCAGTTCTTAGTTACTGCTTACGTAAAGCATCACGTTGTCCTTCTGCTGCAATCAGCCAGTTGATTCATATTTGACTTTTGTCATTATTGGTTTATATTTTATGAACGATGTTCACCATAGTTCAGTTTTTTGACATGATTGCTAAATTTCCAGAAGTGGGAATAACCTTAGGATTTTGTTCGAAAGAAGTCGTGAGTACATTTTGTACTTTTATAACTTGGCACTCCCAAATGGGTAGAATGTGGCTAATTCTGTAAGCTATCTCAAAAACAGTAAATATAAAGCCAGTTATCAACATTGTGAAAAGTGAGATGTGAGCAACAAACAGTTTCTCATCGTCAATCTTGGAACTGGATAAAAGCAGCCTTAAAAACTGTTGCCTTTAATCTTGAACCAATGAATTCCCTGCTCAGTAACCACAAATCCAAACAGGGATGTTTCAATTCAAGAAGATATTTCACAAGGTAGTTGTGATTCAAAATATTTTTTTAGTTAGGGAATCACTGATTTATTTTGACAAGTGAAATTTGCCTTTAATATGCCACTACTTTTCAGAAATAACATTGTTTGACAGCACATAAAAATATTATTCAATAGCTAATCTCTTCTGCCTCTAACTTTCTCTGATATTCAGGATGTTGCTTCAGAGAAAATGAGTAAACATATGAATCCACATTGTAGGAAAATATTCTGTAATATTTCTCTTTAAAAACTGTGAAGGTCAACAAAATATTCTATGATTATAAAAGTGATTAATGTTATAATCTGTTCAGAAAAGCAGAATTTTCATATTTATGACTGAAATATTTAAAAAACAATGGTACTTTGTTTCATTCAAAATAGTCCATCTGAATTTGCCAGAGTAGATTTCTAGGAAGAGGTGAAATGGCATAACTTGACTTCATGACTGACAGCAAGTGTGTCCCAAAACCCAGCCCAATAAGAACAAAGGGCGCACACTAACTAGATCAATGGGAATGATGGTTTGAAAATGAGCAAGAAAATTTTGCCTGTAGGCAGTAGAACCTTCCTTTTGGGTTTTTGAGTAGGGAAAAGAGATTATTGGCAGAGTTGTACGGTGTGGATAGATTTAGGCTGGAAAATGAGAATGTGAGATCAGTTATGACTTGCTAAGGTTGGTTAGGGCCTTAGGGGAGAAACAGTGAGAAGAGCTGAGTTAGAGAAGGAAACATAAAAGAGAACTGATGCTATTAGAAGTGGTTGATTTTAAGGAGCCATTGATTCAACAAACACTGAGTGTCTACTGTGTCTTATGAGCTGTGATAAATGTGTTTCCATACATTGTGTCATTTAATTGCATCCTGTAAGATTTCCACTATTATCTACATCATTCAGATGAAGAATTTGAGTACAAATAATATTGGAATCATATTTCTAATTCAGGATATCTGATTTTCAATTTTAGTTTTCATTCTTGTTGTTGCTTATTTGTTTGTTTGTTTAGCATAGATAGAGGCCAGGAATTCTAATCCATAGGGGATTTATATATTCTCCTATCTATAAACACAGAAGTAGGACTAATAGAGCTAGTATCTTTTTCCATTTTTAGTATTCTCAAATTCTCTTCTCTGGGGGAATCATGGTTCAATGAACCAAAATGGGCAATTTGGAAGGGGA